AATCATACAAGAATTTTCTGAATAAATCAGTAGCTCAACACAGAAAATTATGTAGAACGCTTGAGTTTAAATTGCAGGTTTTGCTTCATGTAACATGGATTCATGATTCATTGAAAGGCATATGTACAAACTGTTGGCATTGCAATGAATCCATCCACAAGTCTTTTATATAAATACAACATTTAGCCCTGCCTTCAAGCAAAGCCAAGTTATTCCCATGTAAGTTGGAAATACATATTGATATATATAAAATAATGTGAGGGCTTCATATTATTTCAGATACATTTATGTTTCCTTCTCAATTCCCTCTCAAGCTTAGTGTCAGCATTCTGATGCTGCCATAAAAAGGAGGAGACGAGGCTTGACTTTTCACCAACTTATTTTCTCTGTAGATAATATCCCCTAGGAGATGGGATGAGAGGGGGGACATTCCTGTGGGTTGAGGTCAGAAGCTGGGAAGACTGACTTGGAAGATGGCCAATGAGAAGATGAGAATTGGGGAACGGAAAGGGAAGGGTTTGGGGGTCAGAGGGTTAGTATCGGCTATGACGAAGTCGGGGCCAGATCTGTCGTACTCAATAAATGGAATACTTCAGCAAAGATTAATTGTTTGGGAGTGCAATTTATTTGAGATGACATCGAAATCTGACACTTAGCTTGAAATCAAATGCCTGGATTAAATCAGTTTCTGGCATAATCCAGAAAAGCTCTTCTTTGGTTAATTCAAGCTATATTCCATTTTAGCTGAGCTTTTTGATGTTGTAGAACACAACTCTGTTGTCCATGTCTGCTAATAGTGATAAGGGACACAAATGTAGGCAGACAGATCTTTCAGAAAACGATGCTTTCAAAGACTTTGTTTGAAATGCAATTTATTTGAGACGACCTCGAAGCCTGACAGATGCATTCTAATTCATCGAGAAAGTCAGTAAAGAGGAATAGCAGACAAACTAGTTACATGGTTTCTAGTTACATGGTTTGTCTTTATTATTTCTGTAGCCTAGAATTTATGCCAATATATTCCTAGAGTTCTCATATTAAACACATGTGTCTCCTCCTCTGCAAAGTGACTTACCCAAAGGAACCAACCTGTTCCAACAGTTTCCATTAATATTATGAATCTGTCTTGTTTCACAATTGCTCCTTTACAGCAGAGAAAATAAAAGGCATCTGTATTAAGATATGCACAGTTATATTAGCTAGATTCTATTTTCCTCTCTGTGGTCTTTGTTTCTTCTACATTCAGACCCATTAGAGAAGGAAACAAAAATCTGAGCATACAGAAGTACAATGTCCACACAGAAATACTATACATTTTTACACTGTTATTTCTCACACATGTATACTTAAAGCCATGTTTTATGCTAGAATTATGAACAAGAACTTATTGCAGTGTTTGATTCCCCCCCCCCTTTGCTTACATTATTGTTTAATTTTACTCCAATATACTGAACAGGTGTTTCATAAAAGAGAATCATTCATTGATGCACCTGGAGAGATCTGAAAGTATAGATGAAACTACCCCATTTAATGAAAAATAATAATAATTGCACTAATATAATAAATACAATTAATGGGACTACATAAAAGAAACTCTTTGTAATATTTTTGGGATGGGATCTGTATTCATAACTTTCTCAATGGGCAACAATTTTATTCCAGGTAAATATTACAGCAATGTGTTTCCTTGTCATTTGCACAATAGCATAAATCTTTCCATAGAGAATCACAATTCCTTTTTCATATATATTCCTACAATCTTACCTATTTCAAATGAAAACAAAATGCCTAAAATGTGACTACATTGAGTGCAATTTATTGAACAGAGTTTTTAAAGAAATTTGCTATATAGAAAGAGAAGTACACATAAAGCCAACTGGCAGAAACAGCAAACCAAGATTCATAATAAGACTGATATTCTTTGATAACTCATCCTAGAAACCATGTAACTAGCTTGTCTGCTATTCCTCCTTACTGACTTTTTCTCAATGAATTAGAATGCATCATTTTCTGAAAGACCTGTCTGCCATTTGTGTCTTTAGATTACAAAATTCAGTCTCATATAGTGTTATTTTTATAGAAACAATTAAAATATTTTAAAGAAAACATTTAAGGTATTAAAGAAGTATAATATGAAATAATATTCTATTTCTTTAATATCTTAAATATTTTTTACTGATATCTTAGTCAAAGATGTTTAAATTTCAGCAAATTCACTTATCTATGAATACCATCAATTGTTTATTACTAAGTGAATATAATTAAAATATTTATTAAAAGTCTGAAATACTATGGGAATAAAAAAAACATGGACACTTTGTTTTACCAACATTTCTAATTCAAAACTCTAATCTAGAGTGCCAGTGTGACTGAAACTGACAATTAAATCATACCATGTTTCTGGGGTGTTGAATTGTTCTTTTTAAATTGTAATCATCCTGGCATTTGATCATTTGAGAATTAAACTAATCCATAAGGTTTTTAGTGACCTAAAAAACAAGAACAGCTGCTGCAGAATCTTGGGAACGTTGCTGGCCAAGTTAAGTAGTTTAAGATTCTGCAAAAGCTGTTGTTTTTTCAACACTACATTCTTGCTGCAAGTGGTAAACTTTTGCTTTCAAGGATTAATCATCATTATTATACTTTATGTGTGCATATGTGTGTATTTCAAGATTTTTTAATTGTTTCATATGATAGTGTTCAAGAAACATTGGAATTATAGAGGCTTTGTTATTGGCTGTGATAAAATTCCATTTAAAATGTTTTGTAAAGAAAAAATTATCTGAAAGAACTAATATAAGTTCATGACTTCCGATGCTGGCAGTATCATTAGGTTGAAAATTTTGATTTCTTGCAGCATGCTTGCTAACTTTTGTTTCAACCTCAGAGGTATATAAAGCTTCTGCAGGACAGGAGCAACTTCTGCATTCTAAGTTTAGCATTACCTTTGTGGTCTTCTTGTATTACCCAGAAAGCTTAAATGGAGATGCTTTCCAAATTTACAAATGCAGTGCATGTATTTTCACATGGTGATATAATGGTCTTTGACAAAGGTCCTATTGACCTTGATCACTATAGAATTCGGTGGGTTGGGATGAAATACAACGTAAATGCACTGAGTCAGAGATACTGTTTATCCAAAATTCATCTGTCAACCCCTACTTAACTTTGGATAGTTCTGCACTTTCCCAAAGGACCATATCCATGACTTCAGGGTGCTCTTAGATTCACAGCTACTCCTGGATTGGCAGCAGGGATCTTAGGCTACCTTTAATTGGTATGACAATTGAGGCTTTGCTTGGAGCAAAAGGCGTTCATCATAGTATCTCATTATTTCTGAAGTGGACTAATGCGACTTCAAAGCCTTTGAAGACTGCTTGGAAAATATAGTTATTGAAAAATATGTGAGTAATTTGAGTATGAGAGCCATTATAATTATGTTATACTGCTTTTGTAAGTCCTTCTTTGCCTTCCAGTAGATCTTCTAGTATGTTAATAACCTGTAAAACCCTTAATGGTTTGACTCCTTTAAAAAGATCCATCTAATCATATACTCACTTTTGGCGAAGGAGTTTTTATGTCCCGTCTGTCTGGGATAACATCTCTCCATCACAGTACCTTCATTTTAGAATATCCTCATCCCAAGTGCATGTTATTTATTTATTTATTATTTATTTATTTATTTTATTGAATTTCTATATCGCCCTTCTCCCGAAGGACTCAGGGCGGTGTACAGCCAAAAGTAAAACCATGACAATATAAAAATTAAAAGCAATTTAAAACAATTAAATAAATTGGCCAAAAAAATAATAAAACAGCCCATTAAAATAGTAAAATGTTGTTATTATTTAGGCCAGCCCTGCTTGTTGGAATAATAATGTTTTTAGGGTGCGACGAAAGGTACGAAGGTCGTGAATCCTACGAATCTCCGGGGGCAGTTCATTCCAGAGGCTAGGAGCCCCCACAGAGAATGCTCTCCCCCTGGGGGTCATCAGCCGACATTGCCTAGCTGACGGCACCTGGAGGAGCCCCTCTCTGTGGGAGCGTACCAGTTGATGGGAGGCTATCAGTGGCAGAAGGCAGTCTTGTAAATAGCCAGGTCGCAAGCCATGGAGCGCTTTAAAGGTGGCAACCAACACCTTGAATCGCACCTGGAAGACCACCGGGAGCCAGTGCAGCTCGTGCAGGAGCGGTGTTACATGGGAGCGTCGAGTTGCTCCCGTAATTACCTGCGCGGCCGCATTCTGGACCAGTTGTAGCCTCCGGGTGCTCTTCAAGGGTAGCCCAATGTAGAGAGCATTACCATAGTCCAGACGGGAGGCGACAAGGGCGTGAGTGACTGTGCGTAGGAAGTCCCGGTCCAGAAAGGGACGCAACGTTAATATGTACCCCAACACTCTACATGAAATACAGCAAAACTGTAGGAGCCAATGGGTATTTTAATTCATGTACTGTTGAGCTGCTTCTTATTGTTTTATACTTTTACTTGAACTGTGTATAAATATAAATAAATACATTACACAATCTCATCATATATCTCTAAACAAATGTTAAGTGCCAGGATTTATTTTAAAAGCCTGAGATATTCTGTCTTCCCAAAGTTCTGTTGTTATAATTGTGTGATGGAACTTTTATTTCTGTCTTAAATTTCTCCACAGAAAAATATAAAATTTAAATTAATAGAAAATCAGAAAGCCTTTGGTACTTCATCATAATCCTTTGAATTGGAAGAAATGCAAGGTTTTAAAAAAATTGAGGTTGTTTTTTTAAAAAATTGGATTGAAGTTTGTTGTGGAATAACTATTTTCTTACCTAATAGTGTATCTAGGTAATGATCACAATACAATTTGCAGGAATAATTTAAAAATTTATATTCCCTTGGGAGCTTTATCATGATTTTTATCAATATCAGTAGCAGGTTTTGCCTTCAATCACAATGTGATGCTAGTCATTATTTTGTCTATTATGTTAAAGAAGATAATAAAAGGACAACACTATGATCAATTTGTAAAATATTTTTCTTTGTACAGAAAGCAGACTATGTACAGTTCTTAATTGCCTTTTCGAGACTTGAGTTCCCTCATTACCTGTGATTTAAGCAAAAAATGAAGTAATTATAGATAACAGTGTTTATCTGGTTGATCTTGGCACCTGCAATTCTAATGCTGAAGCTTTCTCTCTGGTACTAGAATTGAAGGTGCTTTATATATTTCTACTAAATTTCCTGTGAAAGTTTCATAGGCCATGTTTTGCAAAAAGTTATTTGTCTAAAAGATTAACTTAGTAAAACCAGTATTGAAGTGATTATTGGAGACGAACTGGCTGATTTTTTTCACTTCTTGGACTCCTGGTAGAACAAAGTCCATATTGCTTTGAGAAGCAGCATTACAGAAAGCAAAAAGAGGCATCAGTGGAATAATAATGGTCCTTTGAGGTAATTGGGCTTAATAGGCTATTTCGTATACGAAAAGAAGGTTTGTAGCTTGTGGACAGTGACTGTTTCAATATAGACTCATAGACTGGAATTTTATTAGAGCTGCTAGGGAAGTCTGGGAGCATCACCATTTAAACATGTCTCCCTTTCAAATTCTTTATGTTGAACTTCCCTGGGGATAAGTCATGGTTGGAGTAGATCTGGAGAACAGAGTTTAATAGATGGATAAAAACAATTCACTATTTATACCCATAGTAGAGGCCACCATGAGCATTTATCCAGTATTTCTTTTCTTCGTATTCTATATCTGCATAGGAATTAATAAGAACAGTTTAATGCTTGAAAGTAGAAGAACAATTTTACTAGTTGTATCTACCGTATTTTTCAAAGTATAAGACGCATCGGAGTATAAGACACACCTTAGTTTTTGGGGAGGAAAATAAGAAAAAATCTGATTGGCAGGTGGATCGGCCTCCTGGAATACCCCCAATCAGCTGTTCCCAGAGGTGAATTTTAGCAACAGGTTCTTTGGTTGTGAGCTCTGTGCCTTTTTTTTTTTTTCCTGCCTCTAAAAGCCTCCGAAAAAAAGCCTTAAAAAAAAAAAGCCTCTGAAGCTTTGTTTCTGATGCTTTTTTCTGAAGCTTCGTTTCTTATACTTTTTTCAGCCTCTGAAACTTCCATTTGAAAAGCTGGGTGGGGCTACATTCGGAGTATAAGATGCACCCAGATTTTCACCCTCTTTTTGGGGGGGGGGAAGATGTATCTTATACTCCAAAAAATACGGTATATTTTAGTAGTTACAAGAATAGTTAAAGATGTGTTCCCTTTATCTGATGCACCTAAATGAGTGTCTGAAAAACAGATGAATCTGGTTTGAGATTATTTTACCCAGACAAAAGAATTTGGTTTGTTTTTTTAATTTATCTCAGATCTGTATGAACATAATAAATGCACTTCCATTATTTCTAATGTTGGGTTTAAATATTAAAACAAAAAACACTTGGCAAATTAGGGAACAATATGGATTAGCACTCTGCCAACTGAAGAATGTTAAAAAAAAACATATTTAGCTCTTTTTTTACTGCATAAGTAACATTAACATTCCAAATAGCAAAAAGAAAACATCTCAAGACTACTACTGTTAATTGCCAGGTTTTCTAAATAATGCTACTCTCCATGTATGATAGAACCAATTCTGAAAAATATTGACTAGAAAATAATGCATAGATTATACAACTTCAACTCAATGGATTTTTTTCAAGACCACACAGAAACTACAGTTAGTACAGAGTACAGTGGTTCACTTATTAGCTGGTATTAATAACCAGGAATATATTATACCTGGGTTACAGTATTTTATAGTCAGATTTATAATGAGTCAGTTTATCTAGGTTTTACTGGTAACCTAGATAAGTAACCAGGTCTTTAGGCATGAAGAACTTTAATGGTGACAACATTTTAATTGCACACAAAAACTCACTGGTAAGCTTTACAGCTCAGAAAGCAGCGATATTACATGGGTGAAGCAGGAAATGCTTATATAACTACTTGAAGAGATGCATTTTATATGAGTTCTAATTTCTGGGTGGTTTTCAAAGGTTGCCCCCAATAGACCAAAAAGGAGGTGACTAGAGGATAAGATACTATGATTAGTGTCCCCCAATTCAGGAGAGATCACTATTGGTGCACAAAATGGCCGGTCATGACTGTCAGCTGCATATTGAGCAGGATCAGAGTCCAGGACGACTTCTAAATTACATATCAGTTCTAACTATGGTTGTGCCACCGAAGTGAGAGGTATGATAATATGTCACTGTGACTAGTAGGTCCTTAAAACCAAAGGTATTTTAGTCTTGATAAGGTGGAACCTAAGTCAATTTCTCATCCAGAACTTTCTAGTATCTAGGTACCAAAACAGGACCTTCGCCTCATCACTTACTCAGCCAGAGGTTGAGAGAAACATTGGGTATAATACCTGTCTCCATACTGATAAATGAATATCTGGGGTCTCATGCAGATGTTGAATAAAAGTGGAGAAAGTGTCAAGCTATATAGACCCTACTATTTTGGGTTTGGGGTTGGATCTCTCTCATCCACCAACACCATTTAGAATTGCCCTGGAAGAAAGAAAAAGAAACATACGCACACATACACATCAATTCTAGAAGATCAGTATATGATCAATATACTGAACAGCAAGAAATGAAACAGGAAAACATCTCAGTCCCACCAGCAATTGTCTGCAAGTGTGGTCAATTTTGTCCCAGGGCCCAGACCTGAAGGCTGACTGAAAAAAACTCATATAAAACCACTTTTTTCTTATCCACATTCTTTCATTCAAAAAGACATTTTGAGAAGATCCACACCACTGCCTTCTTCAAAGCCAATGATAACAGCTATGTCATACTTTTCATTTTAAAATCTCAGTAGCATTAATAATGCATGCATGACAGAAAAGTAACCTTTAATGCCTTCTTTGCATTTACTGCTTTTATTTTTGTTTACCTGTTTCCTTTTGTACCTTATGTAATTGCTAAGGAAAACAACACAAAACATATCAACCCACTCACATTAATTATTTTTTCCATAACAATTTAGAAAATAAGAGTTTTCTCTCTGAACAGAAACAGTAACAGAGAGTACTATATGCATAGTAGGTCTTCAGCACCAACTACTGCTGCTTTGACTCAGTGCTTCATAGGTCTATATATATTGTATTTTACTTCCATCCACAACAGTTCCTGTCACTCAAAATTGTGAGTTTTCAAAGAGCATGTTTGTTTTAATCTCAATAAAATTCTGTGTGGCTATATTCCTAACATCTTGAACATTAACATTTGATGGAAATGTATTATTTTAGTGATAATCTATAGTATATCTATGTGTGCATATAGGGTACTTAATAGGCCATAGCAAGCTGAACTCAAAGGATACGTAACTAAGAAGAAAAGTTATTAAAACAATTGTGTAACAGAGTAGCAAATATTTAACTAGACATTTCAACATAAATCAATGGAAAATGAATATAATTCTCTAAATTAGCTCTAGGTAGAAATATGCTAAATAAGATGCAAGGCTTTACTATTTCCGGGAAATTAAACATTAATTTCTTCAACATGAATTTAAAGAGCCTAACATGATAGCTTTAGTATTAAAGTATGGTTATTAATGATTCCAACTAAAGATCCATTCACTTCTTGCAGTAATATAAAACTTAAGGTCACAATTTTTACATAGAACTACCTTTGGAGTACTAGAATGTGATATCCCAATATTGGGTTAATTCCAAATGATTTTCTCCAATCAAACAGGGAATGATTTTCCCCATAGATAAAACTTCAAATAAAATATACAAACTTGAAATTCCAAGAAAGTTCAAGCATTTGCTTGAAATTTTCTTGCGGTGGCGAATAAAAACTAATGTATGACTGTCCCCAAAACTATAAAATTCTCATTTGTATGTTAGTTCTTTTCAGAGAATATTTTCTCGGTTCTTGTATGATGAAAAGCAGAAAGATGAAATGAATGAACATTTTTTGTAATTGGAAATTGACTTTTGGGATTTGAATTCAAAATAGATATTACCCGATTCTATAAAGCTAAACTTTACTGCTTCATTGGCTAACTTCATTAGTCAAAATAGATAAGAGCAATATAGAACAAACACATTTTTAAAAATGTATTACACAAATACAATACCTTGATTGGTGATAACATGAGCGTGTCCATGTGATTTTCATGGCAAAAATAGGGAAGTTCTTTGCTACTGTCTTCCACATTTTTTTTTATTTTCCCATCTAGCTTGCTGACACATATTTTGTTTGATTCCCCCAACAAAATATTAATCAGTTCTACTTGCTTCTTTTTTCATAATCCAAGATTAGCTATGTGCCTAGCTGCACATAGGTAATATTCTGTTATGATGTAATTTTATAACTCACCTTGCATCTTTTACAAACATCAAGTATTCTTTCAATTTAACTATATGTACCTGATAAATTGTTTGTTTTGTTTTGTTTATATCATCTTTGACAATGAATAAATCTTTGGACGATTTCATTTTAGCTTGTCAAGTGAGTGATAGTGTTCTGTGAAAAATAAAGGACATTCAGTTTCATTCTTGTATTCAAATTCTCTATAAATGGTTTGAGACAATTAATTTCCAATTGTTTCCCAGAAACAGATGAATCAGACTTTGAGATTATTTTACCCAGACAAAAGAATTTGATTTTGGTTTTTTCACATCTCAGATCTGTATGAACATAATAAATGCACTTCCATTATTTCTAATGTTGAGTTTAAATATTAAAACAAAAACAAAAAAATATTTACTTGGCAAGTTAGGGAACAATATGGATTAGCACTCTTTTCAACTGAAGAATGTTTAAAAAAACCATATTTAGCCCTTTTTTACTACATAAGTAACATTAACATTCCAAATAGCAAATAAAAAACATCTCAAGACTACTACAATCTGTTAATTGCCAGGTTTTCTAAATTCTACTACTCTCCGTGTATCTGTAAGATAGAACCAATTCTGAAAAATATTGACAAGATAGAAAATAATGCATAGATTGTACAACTACAACTCAATGGATTTTTTTCAAGACCACACAGAACCTACAGTAAGTACAGAGTACAGTGGTCCACTTATTAGCTAGTATTAATAACCAGGAATATATTATACCTGTGTTACAGTATTTTATAGTCAGACTTATAGTTAGGGTTGCTAGGTCTGCTTCCAAAAAATAGCAGACAAGCGGGGGGGGGGGGGGGGGGGTTAAGTAGTAAAAAAATAAAAAAAAATTACAATTAAATTATATATTTTCTTACAAACATTTTAACACGTATTAAAATAATCACTTCAAAACTTTACTTAAAATTCAAAAAATCAAATATATTATAATAATATGTAAAATATTAAATTACATTTTACTTTGCTGTCATGTGTATTTTTTATTTGACTGCGCAGCTTTGATCAATTCTTTGTGGTTAAGGAATAATTCTTTAATTTCAGTACAACATTGAGAAATATTAAAAAATATACAAAGTTCACTTCGAACTGATGGTACAAGCAGTCAGTTACGTTTGTCAGTCCACAAATTTCCCATGAAGCTGAAAATTCGTTCAACGTTTGCATTTGATACCGGAATTGATGCACAATACTGGAACAGTTTCAGTAAACTCGGAGCTGGCTCTTTCTTGAAAAAGTACGTCCACTTATCAAGGGATGAATCGCCCTGCAGATGAACATAAACTTCTTCTAAGGCAGAAATTTCATCGAAGAGAGTGTTGGGTGGAAGTTCTTCTCGCCATGGTGATAATAACCAGATGTTCGTCATTTCTTCTAAAGTTGGAGGATTATTGCAGTCAATTAGATTGAAACAACTTAGCGTCTCATATACTGAATCGGTGAAATTATACCACTTTTCTAGGTACGCAATGGCTCTTTGATACATGTTGATGGCTTCTTTCTTGAACTTTTGCACGGCATTCTCGGGCAAATGTTTTTTACATAAGGCAAATAAAACTTTCATTCCAAAAAACTGCTCATCGTATTTTTTTTGCAAAGAATCACGCAACTTACACATGATGTGAAGATCACATGCAAGAATTTTCTTGCTTTCCAGCTTTAGTAGGGTGTCTTGCATTATTGACATGAAGAGATGTGTGAAATATAAATACAATTCTGAAATTGTTGGTTCATCGTCCTTTGCAAGTTCATTTTCCTGATCCGAAATAAGGTTCCAGATAACCTTATGGCACTCATCAGATCCAAGAGAAATAAAATACGATTTTAGAGGTATCCAGTTTAAAAGAAGTCTTTCAACTTCTTTTAAACAAAGAAGCTTTAAACAAACTTAACCAACGTGTTGGAACACGGTGCACAACTTCATGGAATTCTGACTCGCAAAACTCAAAAAATGATTTCAACTCTTCTCGTTTCTTCGCAGAATTCGAAAATTCGGCAAAAACCTTCAGCACTACATTTTCGATATCAAAAGATAACTGCTTTAATGCATTTTTTGCGCTGTTGTGTAAAATGTGATTATTGCAATGAGTAGCTACAATATTGTCATTTTCCAGCAATAATTTTTGGTAAACAGATTTGTTCACTCCATAATTGACCGATGCATTATCTGCTGAGTAAGCTGAAACATTATTTATTTCCAATTCGTTATCACTAAGAACTTGACACAGCTGATTTTTTATTGATGTAGAATCTTCGAAAGAATCCTCATAAAATCTAAAATTTTCACACACAGTCCTTCTTCACAAGTAAAATATTGTGCAACAACGGGATACATTTTGCGATTTCCCTTGTTTGATGCGTCAGTGGAGAGAGAAAATGGAATTCCAGTTTTAAGATCATTGAGAACCAACTCAATAGAAAAAGGATACAAAACCTCATTGACAATAGCTGATGATTTGGTTCTTCCACAAGACTTCTTTTTTACAATTTCTGAATCATCAAAAATTTGCTTCATTAACTTAATACCTCAATCTTGAGCCAGGAAAGAAATATGGTGTTTGATCCCATGTAAGTTTCAGCCATTTCAGCTACAGTCACTTTCTCACTGAAAGAGGAGTCTTTAACAATGAAAAACGAATTGATTAGCTTGTTACCATTCACTTAGATATTAAAAATACATATATATTTCAAAATTGGCCCAGAAGTAAACAGACTTTTTCGGAGAATCAAGTTCAATGGATATTCGATCTTTGTCTCATTCTAACTTATGAAAAAAAAGACAAAACGCGATTCTCGTATCCTTATTCTCTTAGACTGTACAGCTTTAGATTACGTACCATTTCATCATAAAGCTTTTGAATAAAAAAAATGTCCACTATTTTGTGAAAAAAAATAGTGAACATAATGTGAAAAAAGCGGACTGTCCGCTCAAATAGTGGACACCTGGCAAGCCTACTAGTGTGTCAGCTTATCTGGTCAGACAGAAAGAAAAGAAAATCTTTGGACGATTTCATTTTAGCTTGTCAAGTGAATGATAGTGTTCTGTGAAAAATAAAGGAAATACTGTTTCATTCTTGTATTCAAATTCTCTATAAATGGTTTGAGACAATTAATTTCCAATTGTTTCCCAGAAGAGTAGATTTACTTGTATATTAATGAAGCACAGGTGTTAGGCCCCTGGTGTCTTTGTGCCTGGGAGGCATATTTAGGTTGTTTATCTAGCCAGCCGTAGGTACTGCAAGGTATTCAAGCTTGCTTTTAACAGTTTATACAGTGAGAGGTTTTATTTCAGGTTTGTTTTTTGTTTTTTTTTTTTAAAAAAGCTAGCACCTGTTAAATTTTTAAAACTGTTCATGTAGAAAGAAGTAAAAGAGATTGCAAGAGTAAATAGCACTAAAAGTTAACAGAAGTCATCTTCTATGATTCTTAACTGCCCAGCTTGATAACATGAAGAAAAGAAGCTTCATTTAACTAAATCTATCATGTGAAGAACTATCAGTCAATGCTATACTTCTCTGATCCATAATTTTGGAGTAAGGTGTCCTTTTAAATAGATGCTGTTTTATCTATGGGTGAAACCCAAATGTGCTTGTATTAATATTCATTTTTCTTGTTTATTCACTGAGCTGCACTGCTAACGTTTTAGAGGAAATGGAATAGCCTCCACAGACATTATGAATTTCAGTTGCTGGCATAATTACAGTGATCTACATATTCATTAAATTCGAGGAAGAAATGTGTCCAAAAAGACAACCATGCGTTTAGAAATAGCACAGTGCTAAATATATACATTTAAAACTTCCTTTTCTTTTGTTTACCCCAAATTACTTTATGTTACACTGCTTCTCACTTAGCTAAGTCTTTAATAATAATTTTAAGAAGTTCTTTTCTTATGTTTGTTCCATGTAGTAAAGAATGGGAAGAATTATTTGTAAACAACAATTACTTGGCAACGATACGGCTGAAGGGGATTAATGGGCAGCTGAGAAGCAGCAGGTTCCGTAGTGTTTGCTGGAAGGTAAGAAGAAAATACTTATTTACAGCTTGTACTTGTAATAAATCAGCACATTACCTGATGCACTTGAAGATTGCTAGTGTAAAGAACTGCAGCATTTTCCAAAAAATTTCAGTCTGGTATTCTTATGAGCTGTTACCATGCACATGACAGATATTAATTTAAAATACTGTAGCTGAAATAAAAATTGATAGTTTTGAAAGATGACTTGCAGATTTATGGAATGACGATGGAATGGTTTTTTTTTTTTAATTTGATTTATATGCCACCCTTCTCCAGAGACTCAGGGCGGCTTACAATGCGTTAAGCAATAGCCTTCATACTTTTGTATATTTATACAAAGTCACCTTATTGCCCCCACAAACTGGGTCTCATTTTACCTACCTTAGAAAGGATGGAAGGCTGAGTCAACCTTGAGCCTGGTGAGATTCGAACTTACAGTAATTGCCGATAGCTGGTGTTAATCACAATGCTTTTAGTCTACTGAGCCACCAGGCTCGTTTTAACAAAATACTTGACTGAGCACAAAAGTATACTTAAATGCACATATCTGGTAAAATAGTGAAATATCTATGGTTGCTTCTGAAATATCTGGAGTAAAAAAGAAAAAAAAAATTTGATCAACAGGAATCAATAAAAGTTTTAGTCAAATGTAAGTAATAGTGGCTATATTATAATATTATAACTAAAGACCTATCCTACTATATTACGAAAAACAATAGTCCTGCCATTCCACTATATACCATTCACTTAGATATTAAAAATACATATATATTTCAAAATTGGCCCAGAAGTAAGCAAGACTTTTCATAGACATCCAGGCATACACTACAGATATTTATGTTTGGAACTGTGTTTAAGCAAAAATGGCAATAATATTCTAAAATATAGGGGGTTGGGGGGAAATCAATCTAATCCAAATTAATTACAATAGATTTATTTTAATGTAAACAGTCATACGTATGCTAGAAAGGAAAAACTATTTTGGTAAATATTTTGGATCAGTAGAGCATATATCAACTGGATATTTTAACAGACTGAAAAGAAATATGCAGAGATAGAGAAGGTTATTTTTTCTCCATTAAATAATGGAAAGAGGC